TGTCTATCCTTATTCCTTTGAACTGTGTCTTTCAGTCGCTGAAAAACTTATGTTCAGTGGCTATTAAACATCTGATAAATACAGTTGGTACTGAATTCAATTCTTTAGCAGAGTCATATGAATTCCAGAATCTGTATTCTGGTGAAGTTAGTTATGGTATCCATTATGGATGTAGTAACACCAACGGTGACAATAACTGCTGCCCCCAGGAACTCGTATGTCAGGTAAATTCTGGATATAGGTGATCATTTATAATTAGTCCTATACCATGCTAGCGAGAATTATAGACAGTTGACATTGACTTGAGGGTATTGAAAAGAGATGCCTGAATGAGTAAAGCAATGATTCAATTGCAACCTTCTGACGACAATGGCTGGTTTGTACCATTGCATCATGCAGACCACAAACCCCCCTGTGTGACCATAGAATTCACACAACAAGCTTCTGAAAGACAGGAATGACTTTGAAGATTCTGAGGAGCACGAGAACAAGCAGGTATGTGTGATGCTAAAATTGTGTTCCTCCTAACAAGTCATATCAAATCCGCACTTGACCCTTTCAATTAGTTGGTTTGCAGTGCAATTGCAAATATGAAGGGAGGATGGCCAGTAGATAGACATGTACGCAAGACTGACTAGAGCAGCCATGAAACCTTTCCAAATATGAGATCATGAGCAGTCTTACAATCCGAAGGCGGTAGTTGAGAACTTCGTATATGAGCTCGAAGGAGGGTACAAAGGTGGCAAAGAAGAAAAACCCAGGAAATAACCGGCTCCGAAGATGCCATGGTCATGGGTGCAATTTGGACACATGCACGAAGGATATACGAGTACATCAGTGTGTTTATATGTTTTCTCTCTGTGACCTTTCTAATGTGCCATTCGAAGTTCCTGAGTAAATGAGAAGCAATTATTTGCATGAAGACTTCTAACACTCCCATTTTACTTCTAAAATATGCACGGACGCACAGTTTCTGATTCAAACTCTGCTAGCACTACTAGGGAAAAGCCTATACACAGAATCTTACCAGCAGCGCACTTTAAAATCAGGCGCTGCTGCTAAGTAGCAGTAGCGCGGGCTATAGAAACTCGCTGCTGAAACAAGTTTATCAGTAGCGCGTGCACTCCAAGAAGCGCTACTGCTAAAATTCCCACGATGCCGACGCGAGGCCAGTTATAGCAGCAGCGCGTTAAACTAAACAGCGCTACTGATAGGTCGTTTAGCAGTAGCGCATTCACCTATAGCGTGCTACTGCTATGCCATTCCATCTCCCCCCACTCACTAGCCTCATTCACAGATCACACTCACACACACTCATTCGGTCTCCTCCTCACCCCCCGCGCCGCCGGTCATCCCCCGTCGCCCCTCCCCCGATCTGCGCCGCTGTCGCCTCATCCTCCTCGATGGACTCGGTACCGGCCTCCTCCTCCGTCCTCTCTCCACTCGCCGCTGGCCGGCCCCTCCTCGCTCCGCCTTCCTCCTCGATCCGTCCTTCCTCCACTCGCCGCAGGCCGGCCCCTCCTCGCTCCGCCTTCCTCCTCCGTCCTACTATCTTCTCCCTCCTCGAGTCGCCCCTCCTTGTCCCTCCTCCCTGATACATTTTGATTTAGTACGCTTTCATATGTAACATTTTGATTTAGTTGATATGATTCAGTTGATTTAGTAGGCTAGTTGATTTAGTTGATTTAGAACATTTTGATTTAGTTTATTCAGTAGGCTAGTTGATTTAGAACATTTTGATTAAGTATGCTAGTGGATTTAGTATGCTAGTTGATTTAGTTGATTTAGTATGCTCGATTTAGTTTTTTTGTAATAAGTTATTTTTTGGCAAAATGTAGGTGCCAATTTAGTTAAATTTGCCACTTGTTTGTTTAAACAATTATCTTAGGCAATAGGGGCCAAATTAGGATTATAATTGTCCATAAAATTGTTTCTCGCGGAAGAACCAAAAATATCACATGCTACTGTTTTTCTTTCCTGTGAAGTGAATCGTTAATCCTTTGCTCATATTGCTTTAGGAAAATGGCGCCACCATCAGCACCACTATGTCGACTGTGCAAGTCAAGGTGCGCCAGCACCCTTGCAACTGGCAAGTTGTTCGGCATCTACTTCCATCCGAGTTTTCGTCATGCGGCGGTAAGAAATTAGATGAAATGTAATAACTATTTTATTTTTAGTGTTGGCATTACTGCATTGTGTCATTTTGCTTTTCTTACACAGATCGTCTCATGCAATGTGAGGTTGAAATTCAACAAGCTGACAGGAGACACTGTGACATTTGAGGCTCCTGGGGGGCGTACACTATGGAGGTCGAGAAAGGACGCAATATGTCGCAGATTGGAGAAGATGGATGGGCCCGTTTCCTCGCTCGCATGCGTCTTACTGGTGATGAGTTGATCAGATTCTCCTTCAGAGCAGAATGACCCAAGCTGGTTGTCATTTATATCAACCTGGTGGAAGATGATGAAGATGATGAAGATGATGAAGACCCACTCAATGAAGATGATGAGAACCCACTTCATGAAGCCATCATAGCTCAAAGAATGAGGCTAAGCGAGAAGGAGGTGTGCAACCTATGGGACATAATTCCGCCACGTGATGACTTTGTCGGGGTGCCATTCGTGACCCGCCTGACAAGTACCATGGTCGATTGGCATGAAATGGTATGTTATACGTACCGCATGTAGTAATTTGATGATATATATATATATATATATATATATATATATATATATATATATATATATATATATATATATATATATATATGCTTTATTGTTATACTTACAAATGCAAATTATCCGATTATATGCTTAGTGAATCCGATGATATGCTTAGTGTAGAGTCCAATGATATGCTTTGTGGAATCTAGTCGATGATATACTTTAATGTAGAGTCTGATCACATGCTTATTAGTGTAGAATCTAAGAAACTATTAATAGTGTAGATAATCTATATATACTTATTAGTAGAATTCATGATTAATTAGTACAAATGCGTAGTACTGTGTCTTTTGATAGTGTAGAAATCTAGACTTAATAGAAATATATTTGCAAGAGTATGTGTGAGGCTATTTATTAATTGATATGTTTTTCTTATTCAGAGATTGCCAAAGAACCTATCTGTGAGTTGTGGTATCGAGCCTGACGAAGAAGGCTCAGTTGGACTACGCCTTACCGCAAGGGGCTCCGTCACCACCTGTACTTACCGCATGGACACAGATGGTCGCACACATTTGAACTCGGTTGGGTGGAAGAGATTCCTCGTTGGCAATAATTTTCATGTTGGACAGGCCATCCTAATTACTATCAGGAACACCCACCGCCCAGGCTTGAGGATGATAATCGTCGTCGATATTATTTAGAACTACATATGTGTGTGTGGCTATATCATCTAGAACTACATATGATGATCGTCGTCGACATCATGTAGAACTACATACGATGATTGTCGTTGATATCATCTAGAACTAAATATGATGATTGCCGTCGATGTCACCTTGTACTGCTTGAGGATGCATGTTGAGTATATATGAAATTGTTATCTAGTACTCCCTCGGTTCCAAATTACTCGCCGTGGTTTGAGTTCAAATTTGAACTAAAATCACGACGAGTAATTTCGAACCGAGGGAGTACTACCTAGTACCTATAATGCTTTATGAAATTGGTATTTAGTAGTACCTAGTATCTGAAAATTGCAGTTTATCGAAGCTGGAATGGGAAAATGATGAAAAATATAACAGTAACGCGGGACCAGGAAATCGCTACAGCTAACTAATAGCAGCGCGTTCCTGAAAAGTGCTGCTGCTATAGTCAATAGTAGTAGCGCGGGTACAGGCAGCGCTACTACTAAGAGTTAGCTGTAGCGCCTTATTGATAGCGCGGGCACCCGCGCTGCTGATAGGCCTAAAACCCGCGCTGCTGCTAGCCTTTTCTCTAGTAGTGTAGCAAAGAAACTGAGAAATGTTTTTCCCCTATTCTATACCGTACAGTGATAGGCATTTAAATGCTTTTTGTAATGATGAAAACCATTTATATGGCTGTCAAAATGCGATTCCTTTTTGCGTCTTCAGTCAGAAGTCGTGATATTCGTCCATTATTTTTGCTAGATCGGATACTTAAAGATCTATGAGTTGTTCAATT